TTATAAAATTTGCAAATTGGCCATATCAATGATAAAACTTCTCCATCCTCTTCATTTAAAAAAAAATATTATAGTTCATGGGGCAAGTTTTTAAACATAAGTAAGAAATATAAATGTAAATTAATCCAACATAGTAAAACTAAACCACAATCTAAGGATCCTAAGACTTATAACATGCCATTGCAATTAGATGATAGGAAAAAAAAAAGACAAACTAAAAATTGTTTTATCAAATATAATCAAAAATCAAATGTAAAAATTTGCCTACCACTTTTTCTTTTAGTTCTTGTTTTTGGTATCGTCTTAACTTTTTTTTTCTTTATAAAATTAAGCTTCGATAACTTTCTGATGAGAGAGATTAAAATACCAATATCAAAAAAATTAAACAACAAAGGTTCTGTATTGTTACCGCGGCTAAATAACAGGCCAATAAAAGACAAAAATAGGGTGGGATTACCTAAGAAAATGAAAATGTAGCTGACAGTAACATTTTTTTATGGTGGATGGCAATAATAATAGTAATTTTGAAGATGAGAGATTTAAAAAATTTTGGCTAAGAGGAGGATGCCCAAAAACAAAAAATTCCTCTATCTTTTCCTACCTAGGTAGAAGTCTCATTTGCAAAAAAAAAAAAAATGAATGCAAATTTAGTCCTTTTGAAAGGGTTGCGATAAAATGATCTATAATTGCTTTGCATGAGTTTTAGGGGCTACTAATTTTTTGCCCATAAGCTTCTTAATTGAGAAACTAATATTTTTATTTTAAAAAAGAACAATCCAAATAAAAAATTTTTTAAAAAATTAAAAAAGTAAATAGGGATATAAAGAAATACTTTGAAAGTCCCATTTGGGGACAAAATAGAGAAGTAGTCACCTTTTGCAGTAAAACATGTTAGGAAGGGTTCATGTTCTACTTTATCATATTTTAGATTCAAACCAAAGGTATGTTGTTCTTGTTTAGTCATAAAGCCTCAAAAAGCTTCTTTTAAAATAATTCAACTAACTTTAATGACATTTTCAACCCCACTTATCAAATCTCTTTCCATAATTAACCTTTCAAACCACTATTGTTTCCATCATTACCCTTCAATTCATAATTTAACCCAAAACTGAGTTGTTTTAAAATTGCAGCATTGGGATTGCTTTAATATAATGTTATAGATTTTGGTTAATTATGATAATCGAGGCATTTTTATAAGTATATTATAAAGGATATTATAATAATTTTGGTCAATTATGGTAGGAGGAGTATTCTTATAAATATGGTAAGAGGGTATTATAGTAATTTTAGTCAATTATAGTAAGATGGGCATTTTTTATAATTATGGTAGGGAGCATTATAATAATTTTGGCTAATTATGAGAGAAAGGGGTATTTTTATGATTATGATAGAAAGGAATTATAATAAATTTGGATACATGTCAACATCATATTAAATAAACAAAGGGGTGTTATAGTAATTTATATGAAAATTGTTTTACTATATGTTATTTAACATTTAATAAGTAATTTAATAAGGGTATTTTAGTAAATTTCAAACAAAATTCCACATGTCAAATTTTTATGAAGCAATGGCAATGGTGTTTTAGTAATTTAATAGTAATTAATTTTATATTATGTTAAAATTTCATATATAATTTAATAAGAGTATTATAGTAATTTTTAACTAAAATGTCACATGTCCAATTTTTATAACACAATGATGAAGATATATTAATAATTTAATGCGCAGTTAATTTTATAGTATGTTAAATTTTAATAAATAATTTAATAGGCGTATTATAATAATTTATAAAATTTTATCACATTTCAACTTCGTACAAAATAATCATAAAAGCATTTCCATAATTATACTGTGAGAGACATTATAGTAATTTTTGAACAATTATGGTAGGGTATTTTTATAATTTTGATAGAAAAGATATTATAGTAATTTTAGCTAATTATAATAGAAAAGGTATTTCTGTAATTATTGAAAGAGGTATTATAGTAATTTTAGTTAATTATAATAAGAGAAGTATTTTTGAATTATGGCCGAAAGCCATTATAGTAAATTTGGACAAGTGTTGATATAATATCAAATAAACAAAAGGCTATTATAGTAATTATCAAGGGGATTTTTTTTAATATATGCTAGTGATTTTGAAATAAAATGTTACATATAAACTTCCTATTAAGAATTTATAAGGGTATTTTTGTAATTATAATAGAAAAGATATTAATGTAATTTTTATCAATTATGAGAGGAAGATATTTTCATAGTTATGGTAGTATTGCATTATTGTAATTTTGGTCAATTATAAGAGAATGAGTATTTCTGTTGTTATGATATGAGCAATTATAATAAATAATTATAAAAAAATGGGTATTTTCATAATTATGATATGAGAGTATAATAATCAATCTAATCACGTGCTAATTTCTTATCAAATAATGAAAAAAGTATTTTGAAAATTTCCTTAGAGATTTTTTTCACGTATTATATAGATTTTTTAATTTAATAAAAATTAAATATTTTTTAGTATTTTGATAGTTTTTCATTTTTGGAAAATATAATCTTTTGAAAAAGAAAATGATGCTCTAATTATGTCACTCAATTGCAATTGAACATGTGTTAGTTTCTATTTTAAAAAAAGGAGACTACTTAAAAAAAATTGTATAGATTAAATCCAAACCCAATAATATATACATGATAGTTCAATTTACCGATACAATATTTACCTATTATCAATATGGATCAATTATTAAATTCAAACTCATTTACCTATAAAACCAAAACCCATTGATATCATCACTCATTGAACTTAATTTTTTAAGAAAAAAATAATTTTAATATGGTAAAAAGGGATATTTTCGTAATTATAGCAAGAATCGTATTATAATAATTTTGGTTAATGATGATAAGAAGGTATTTTGGTAATTATGATAAAAGACGTATTATAGTAATTTTAACTAATTAAGGTAAGAGGAGCATTTCAATAATTATGATAAAAGAGTATTATAATAATTTTAGTTGATTATAAAAAGAAGGGCATTATCATTAATTTAGACACATATCATTCAAATGTTAAGTAATTAAAAAAGGCATTACAATCATTTTTTAAGGGATTATTTTCATATTATAATATATACAATTATATTTTATAATTAATTTTTTAAAAATTTAATTATAAAATGATATCACATTACAGTAAAAATCTCTTTCACCGTGTTATCAAAATAAATAAAGGAGCCTTAAGCCAATAGCTAAATAAATTACATATATTTAACTCAATAGCTTTTGAAAGACAAAAAAAAAAAAAAAAGATCATATCTAAAAATATATAGTAATTTTGAGTGGGGCAATAAGAAGCAGGTGTGCTTTTCCTAGTTGAATGAATTATTGAGCCTAGCTATTTTTGACATTATGGCTAATTTGATAATTTCTGGTATGAATATGATTTTCCTTCTAGGTCTTTAGGTCTGGCCATTTAGATGTGGCATTTTAGGTAAGATAAAGCTTTAGGTTCTGCCATTTTTCACCTTTTTTTTTTTGTTTTTCACTTTCAATATGTACTTTGAGCAATCCATTTCTTTTAATCACCACAATAATTTAAAAAAGAGGACCATGATTTTCATAAACATATATAATGGTCTTTTTTTTTTTTCAAGATTGAACAGTATGGTTATAGTTAGGTTATATCTTAATCATACATTAATCTGATAATGAAATTGAAAGATTAGTCATTTTTGCACCTAGGAGAACATATATATAATCTTGTTGTAGATAAAATCATACTAAAATCTTCTAAAAGGAGTGTTATCCTAATTAATAGTTTCTTTGATTGCGTAGCAGAAAAACTTTCACCATGCTTAAGTTAAGTTTTTTTTATTGAGTTTTATGATTAAATTTTAAAAATTTATTTAATAAAATGATTTTTACAACATGCATGATGAGAATTCTTTCTTAACGTAATCTAAATGAATTCTAACTAATTATTTAAAAACATTAAATATGAGTTGACTAAATTAAATCAAAGAAGAGAATATATATATATCATAAATTTGCAGCTGTACTTACACCTGAGTCAAACCAATGATTAATGTGGCTCATTCTCATAATAAACTTATCTTCATCATTAATTAATAGATAGTTGATTAAATAGAACTCCAAAATAGTCTGTCCATCTAGCTTGTCTCAACCTTTTCTTTTCTTTTTGAAATAATCTAGACTCAGCTTGGTATAATAATAGATTATCAATTTTATTAAGAGGATTTCTTTTTTATATAAAGGTAAAGAGAAAGTGTCATTAATATGCAAAATGAATGGAAACAGGCAAATAAAAATCTATTAACACAAACAAACAAACTTGACCAAATCCCATGCATGTGAATTTTCCCTAATGGAATTTTTCTTTTTGGAATAAAAAGCTTTTTGTCTATGGCACCAATAATGATGGAAACCTACATCAACAAAAAGTTAAGTACTATTTAGTTTTTATGCTGATAATGATCTTTGTAAACATTCCAATCAATTGCTTCTTCTTACCTATAGTGTGTATTTAGCAATGCAATCAAGATAATCTTTGAAGTACAATTTTGCTATAAATTTACAAATTGATTAAACTTGGTTATACATAACAGTGGAAGTCTTGATTTTTGTAAGAGATATTATATCAAAATCTTTTAAATTAACTTGTGTTTATGTTTTTTTTTTTTTTAAAATATTATGATAAGATATTTTTAAATTTTGTTTTTATCAAATCTCATTTTTTGAGTAATTTTAAAGACATTATTTTATATTAATTTCGTACATTTCAGAATTTATTTTTAAAATACTTTTATAAAAATCAAATTCTAATTAATTTTTTTACCAACTAAACTAATCATAGTGAATAAATAAATGTAAATGGATAAATATAAGAAATAAATATATATGTAAATATATACACTAAAATCTATATGCAAATCAAAGCTTTGAAACAGAAATTACTATCAAAATTCGATGACGAGAGACAAACATCTCACGTGCTACACTTGAATGTCAGCACTCAGCGCCATTGCCAAGGTTGGTCTTTTCTTCAGCTAAATGACTAGAAGACCCAACCAGCTAACTGTACATCGTCTCCTCCGTATTCGCTCATCTGATTGGCCATCACTTTCCGCATAATATTTAGAAAACAACTTTGCTTTGGCCGAAGCAGCGCCCACAGTCTCCATTTTCACCAATCAGAACTCGGGAGCTTTGACACTCTCTTTCTCTCTGCTTTCACACTGCTAACTCTCTGTTTCATATATATAAGCAGTACAAAATAAATTCAAAAGAGTTGGCATATTTGTATTCATTTTTTTCACGCTCTCTCTCTCTCTCTCTGGTCTTTTTGCTTTTGCTTTACCTTCCCAAGGGACTATAAAAGCAAAGTAAAAAAAGCCAAAGATTTCCCCACTTTTAAAATCCCAATTCTCTAGAAGCTTTCTGTTTTTCCTCTGTTTTCTTTTGTCTTTTTTCCCCTTTCATGGATTTTCAGTGTTTTTCAACCTGCAAGTGTTTTAATCTATGATTTAGGTTTTTGACTTTTTTATCTGTATATTGATTTTCTTGTTTTAATTTGTTGTTGTTGAAGTTGTTGTATGTGATTTTGGATCTGATATGGATGTCTAGGATTTTTCATCTATGCATCAAGATCTGCCTTTTCATTTTCATTTTCATTTTTTTCTACTATTTCTCAGATTTTCCGTGGGCTTTAGGAGGTTGTTCTTTTTGAGATTCCGCAATTAATCTTTTGTGAAAAAGGCTTCTTGGATTCCATTTAAATGCTTTCATGATTTGATACTTCTTTGGTCATTTAAAGCAGCCACTTCTCTGCATTTTTCTATCTTGGTTTTTTTCTCTCTTTGAACATTTCATTCAAAGAGGGAGAAAAGCAAAGGTTTTTTTTTTCCTATACGGGCAAATCATCTTTGGCGATTAGATAACTAGAAAAAGAATAATGATGAATAGGGGACTTGAAATCCTCTCTCCAGCCTCTTATTTACAGACTTCCAATTGGTTGTTTCAAGAGAGCAAAGGTACTAAATGGACTCCTGAAGAGAACAAGTGTTTCGAAAATGCTCTGGCTTTATATGATAAAGACACCCCTGACCGATGGTTTAAGGTGGCAGCCATGATTCCTGGGAAAACAGTTGGAGATGTGATCAAACAGTACATAGAATTGGAAGAGGATGTTAGTGATATAGAGGCAGGGCTGATACCAATTCCTGGATATAGCGGTGATTCTTTTACATTGGAGTGGGTTAACGACAGTCAGGGCTTTGATGGATTTAGACACTATTACACTCCAGGTGGAAAAAGAGGAACAGGGACTCGACCTTCTGATCAAGAAAGGAAGAAAGGGGTGCCATGGACTGAAGAAGAACACAGGTAATTGCTTGTCTTTGTTGATTTTTTTTTTTTTTACAATTTTGGATGTCATTTAACTATGATTGGATATGTCAGTCTTTAGGATATGAAGTTATCGTTGGTTTAACATGTAAAATTTGTAGAGTTGAACCTGTAATCAGAGTATGCTTTTCTGTTAGAGATCGATAATTTGCATGTTTGAAACCACTGTGAATTTAGTTGACTGGAAGTCGATGGATGTGGATGCTAGTTGGTTTTAAAGAGAAACAATCTGAAACATATGGTAGGAATTGACTCTCCTGACTGATCCTTGCAATTGCTATGAATGTTGACTATGTGGTTGGTAGACACTATAACATGTTTGGATAGTGGATGTCTCTTTTCTTGCCTGTGCAAATTCTGTACTTTCAATGGTTTAGCATCCTCTTGCAGCACATGATGTTTATTTGATGATTAATGACAGGCAATTTCTAATGGGGCTTAAAAAGTATGGTAAAGGGGATTGGAGAAATATTTCACGCAATTTCGTGACAACTAGAACACCAACACAGGTGGCAAGTCATGCTCAAAAATACTTCATCAGGCAGCTGACCGGAGGGAAAGATAAGAGGAGGTCCAGTATCCATGATATTACAACAGTTAACATTCCCGATCCCCCCTCTTCTTCACCAGATCACAGCAAGCCTTTGTCTCCAAATAATTCTTCTGCAGTCATGCAGCCACAGCAGCTACCGAAAGTAGCTGGGGTAACTAAAGAGCTCTTTGATTTTGAGTGGAAGCTGCAAAATGAAGGAGCAGCTATGGTTTTCAACCAGACGAGTGGTATCAATACCTTCCTGTCCCCTTTCTGTGGGATTTCTTCATATGGACACAAGCTGGAAGAACAGAATACTCTAAAAGGAACTCTTCCCAGATCTCAATTTGGATCTTACAACACTCTTTTCCAGATGCAGTCAATGCAACGTCAGTAAATTCATTGATAAAGAGGGAAGAATTTCTGAAGGTATTATCATTAATTAATGAGTTGAAGATCAAGCCTAGCAGTGATGTCAGCTAGCTTTGTCCATGCCACGTGTATATCTTGAAGATGCAAATTTAGTCCACACTTATTCACTCTAAAGAGAGATCAGTTAGGTGGTTTTATGATTTATCATTAAAATTTTGGATCATTGAACCAAAAAAGAAGCTTATATGAAGCTTGGGACTTTTATTAATTTTAGTCGTGCGTCTGCATTATCTGTCTGTTGTCACCAGTTATTCTTAGATTAACTGCTTGTGTTCTATTGATACTGCATCCTCTGCAAAATGACAGACTGTACTATAAAGGCTTAAAACTTGATAATAGACTCCAATAATTCAGATTTCCTTGCTTCAACTGTGATTATACACTTCACATCATAGACAAAGTGAAGAGAAATCAAAGGATCTTCTTTAGTCTTTTAGCCACAAGCCTTTTATCTTCTTCTTGCTTATGAATTGCATTTCCTAAGGCTGTTATATCCAAATTCAGTCCTAAGCCAACTTCCCATGCTTTTTTTTGGGTTGGGGGAGGGCTGGAGCAGGAGGAGGTAAGGGAATATCCAAAAATCTTTCTATGCTTCAAAGGCGAAATTATTTTGTGGTTTACATGGATGTACATCAACCAAAGTGGAAGCAGTTGGTTTGGACAATATGCCATGTCAACTGTTGCTTAGTCCGAGTCATTATGCATGCTTTTTAAGGATATGATGGCTTAATGACTCTGCTTAATGCTGATGTCTTTTTGGTAAATTCGGGTTTATATTTTAATGGAAAATTCCTTCTTGCCAAAAAAACAAAAAAGAAAGAAAATAGTGGTTTAATTAGTTGACTCATCTTGATAATAAAATTTTGACTGAAGCCTAGACTAGGAGCCTCTAATTTAAGCATCTCATTCTTCATTCCACCTATCTTTGTTCCCTTCAAGAAGATGAGACGGTCTATTACTTTTTCTTTGCTCGCCGGTTCTATACTCAAGCAATGGAGGATTGCTATTGAATAGATGTATTAGTCATCACTAATAATCAAATTAAACCATCCACGTTTTTGTTCCTAAGATTGTTTATGATCATTCCATCTTTCAAAATTGACTGACTATTTGCCAAGGAATTCTTGATTCTTCAAACCCCTTTTTTATGGTCATTGAAGGAATCTTAGATTAATGATTCTCAAGTATGTCTAGGCCTTGGTGATGAAAGAAGTGCTTGGAAGTCTCTTTCTCTGTTGTCTGTCTACATTCTGTGCTTTCTTCACAACCCCCGGCAAATGGGCTTCTTTCTTCTTCTAATACAGTGGGATTGGAATTTTAATTGATCATGCAGAGCATATGTGACCACACCTTCATACTTCTTTGTCTTTCATTTTCCTTTTGTTGAGGATGGACCTCAAAGATTCCACCAAAATATATATATATATATATATATATATATATAGATGGTTTGGAAAAAATTGTAGTATCATGGCTTTTCATTTTGGTAAAAGCACTCAAAATTTGTAAGAATCTTCTCATTGATTAGTGCAGCATGGAATCCTGATGTGACCTGTAACCAATATTATAAGCTTACTGCTGCAGCAAATTATCACTTTGAGACAGGAATTGTATGAAAAAGGTTCCGAACCCCTTTCAATTTTACTTCTGTTCTAGATGAAAATGACAGACAACAAACTTGCGCTAATGCTCAACGTGGGTTATTCTAGTGTGGCAGAAAAATGAACAGCAAAGCAGGAGTTTCCTTAATATGAAATCTGCTTTCCTGCAAATATACTTGTCTAGTTAGTATTTAGGTGAAGGATAAAATTATAATATAATGAACAATAAGGCAAAAGACTTATTTAATTTGTGAAAGCGTAGCGGAAGCATTTTTGAAGAAGTGTTGCCAAAATGATGCCTATTTGATTTACTGGTCGAGAATAAGATCATATATTCAAAAATTGTTCACCATTCACAACATAAGTTCTTAAACACCGAAGTATGGATTTCTCAAAGAGTTCGCAACGAAATGTTTTATTCTGTTGCTTTGTCAATCATTTTATTTTCCACTCTTATTTTCTATGTTATTCATCACATAGTCCCACATATGAATGAGACTTATCTCATTCTTGGTTTGGATGAACATATTCTATCTTTTTTAGCATGGTTGAATTCCAAACTAAATATTAAGAGAGAAAAAGATAATTTTATTTTTCATCCCATCCAAAAAATGGTTGAATGCCATTTTTTCTTCATATATTTTTTCTTATGGTCGGTTGCCATATTTATAAGGAAGTGGGAAAGTAAAGAAAACAATTTGTATTTATGGTTTAATTAAAAAAACCAACATTCATTAATTGACTTTTTCACTTGTTTATTAATATAGAAAGTTATCCTCCCATTATGGGCAGATATTTCCTACATCTCTTACTCGTACAAAATGGGTGGCAAATTTTCATAATCCAAAGAACGTTTTCTCTACTTTTTGCAACGGATTCATATAAGGAAATAAGCCATCCAACCAGCATACTTTGAGAGTTTGGTTGCTATATGATTGTTAGGTGCATATAGTAACTCATTTAGTCACTTATACAACTATTAGGTATATATATAGTAACTCTAAAGTATAAGTAGAGTAAGTATGCAGCACCCTAGATCCATTCAATCACATTTCAAGTGCCTCACCATCTTTTTTATCATATTACATGATATACTTATATATTCACAATTATATTCGACATTTCAAACATAATTGGCTAGCCTGTGATTACAACCAAATGTGACACCAAAATGATCCTCCATTCTTCTAGAATTTTTTCATTTAAATTCAATTGCTCTCTAAATATGTCTTATTAATTTGAATCATCCATAATCATTAGCAACATTCCAATATAACAACATTGAACTAAAACTTTAAAAAATAGTCAAAAATCTTTAAAGGTACTAAATATGAGATCTTCTTATCTCAAAGATCTCACACAACAAAAAACACAAATTTATCCTTCCATTACCTTTGTTGGTAAAAAAATGCACATATGGTATGAAACATATGCTACGATATTACTCTTTTTTTCTCATGGAGTGTATATTTTTATCATTAGATATCAATATCGTACATGTGATAGTTCAGATACTCTTAGTATCTAACTTATGTCCATAACTCTACTTGATTTCATATAATTAACAGGACTTTCACCTGGCATTTAAGATAAACAAAGTGAATTGTGAAATTATTCACTTTCGATCACAAAGCTCAATATCAAGTGACCTCATCTTGATCCTTTATCAAAACGATTACATTTTAAACTTATGCACTCAATCCCTAACTTAAAACTAATCTTATCTTCATGGTGCAAACCATTGAGGCGATTACCTGTGTGAGAAGACCAATCATCTGTCTGACATACCTTTTAAATCGTATCTTATATGTACATATACATATATATATACATGTGTGCATGCTTTACAAAATGAAGTACTAAACTTTAATGGCATTAATCACATTCAATATAAGTAAACTCAAATAGGAAAAATCATAAATTATTCACATGAAAAATCTTAATCAGTACATCCTTATCTATGCAACTCTAGAGATTTCATGTGGCTATGAAACATATCTTTAGGCAATGGCTTAGTTAATTGATCTGCTATTATCTCATGCGTAGAAATGTACTTGTTGACTTTCATTTGTGTAACCATGTTTATCATAAATTTATATTTGATATCTTTATGTTTGGTCTTTGGGATCTGTTTGTGAATGCAGTTGTTGCTTAACTATTGCAATTAACTAACTTTGAGTTAAACTCATCTTTCTCAATTCCCAAAAGATTAAAAAATCTAATAAGCCAAACTACCTCTTACACTGCCACTAAAAATGCAACAAATTTAGGTTTTATTGTGGATAGTGCTATTCAAGTCTCTTTCTTACTAATCAAAGATATAGTCTTATATTCAGTAAGAAAACATAGCAGAGGTAAATTTTTTTTATTTAAATCTCCTCTCTAATTGGTGTCCATATAGCCAATTAAATGCAAGCCATTTTTTTGATAGCAAAACAAATAATCCACCTTTATGATACTTTAATATCCTTTTCATGGCTTTTCAATGGGATTGACTTGGATAAGATTAATATATGCTTACTAAGTTTATGGCATAATAAATATTCGGCCTTGTGCACATCATAATATGCATAAAGATTCCAATAACACTAGAGTAAGAAATTTTTGTTGTTTGTTCCTTTACCTTATGGAGTCCCACGACATATTTTTTTACTCAAACCTTCACTATTTAACTATTGATTGGCTTGCAGTCTTACATACTAAATTGTTTAAGAATTTCTTAATATATTACTCTTGTGAAAGAGAATAATTTCTTGAAATGATCTCTCTTGATTTTTAAATTAAATATGTAAGATGCTTCACACATTTCCTTTATTTCAAATTTGAGGAAAACAAATTTTTGCTATAGTGGAATACTCTTTATCATTTATAACCAATAGTATGTCATCTACATAAAGTGACAAGATTACAAATTCATTTATTATTCTTTTAACATACACGTAGTGATCTTCCTCAATCATGATAAAATCATATGAAATTATCACTTAATGAATACTAATGTATCATTGCTTGAAAAACTCTTTAAGACTTTAAAATGATTTTAATCATCTACACACTTTTGTGCTATTGACTTTTATTAATGAAACCTATAGGTCATTCCATACAGACTTTCTCTTTCAATTTTTTATTTAGAAAGACACTTGTCACATTCATTAGATGTAACTCAAAATCTAAACAGGCTACAATGGCTAGAATTATGTCCTTTAGATTAATCAATCATTTCTATACATTGTTTGATCTTAGACTCCATCTTTTTTCTTCCATTGTTTTTATCCACTTTTCTTTTGCTTGATTTGTGATTCTTGTGTAACAAATTCAACAAATTCATCAACTTTAGTCATGCTCCTACTTGGATGAGATATTGTTGATTATTGATTAGGAAGATGTATTATTTGATTTGTAACTTACCAAATCATTTGCATTCTTAATCTCATAAAGAGACATTTCCTGACTCATCTCACCTTTATATGAAAACTCATTTTTCAGAAAAATAGCATTTCGAGATTTAAAAATTTAGTTATGCTCTCACTTGATTATTCACTTATGAACATATATCTTTTTGGAATGTTTAGAGTATCTTACGAATATATGCTTTTTGCATTGTAGACCTAAAACTTACCATGTTAATGAATGAACTCATGAACATAGACAAGACAACCTTAAGTTTTTAATTTATTGAGATTGGGTTTTTTACCAATCTACAATTCATAAAGAGTGGTTGTAACTAACTTGAAGAATATTCAATTGAATATATAGACAGTTGACAACAATATTTTACATCAAAAGTGGTTTGTAAACTTACTTGGGTTAATATTGACCTAACTATTTCTAGAAGAGTTTTATTTCTTTTATCTACAACATCGTTTTATTGTGGAGTCATTAGAATGGTGAACTGTCTATTAGTACCAATTTCATCACATAATTATTTGAACTAATCGAACAAGTACTCATATCTACGATTAGTTCTCAATGCCTTAATGCTTTTATCTAATTGATTTTTCCTAAAGTACACATTTTTTAAAGCATTTTAAAGTTTTAGACTTGTGAAGAATCAATAGACAAAACTAAAATATGTGTTATCATCAATAAATGTGAGAAAATATTAAACTCCACTTCGTGTCCCTATATACATTAGAACATAAATATCGAAATGTATCAGTTGCAATGAAACTTTAACTCTAGTTTCTTTATCAAATAGTTTTCGTATCAGTTTCTTTTATAAACAATTTACACATAATGACTGATTAACATTATCATATAGGACATTGTAATCCCTCTTTTACTAATCTATCCATTCTTTGTTCATCCATATAGCGAAGTTTAACATGCCAAAGATTCACATTAATATTGGTATCACAAAATCATTAAATAAATATCTAGATTTATAACAATCTGTTTTAAAAAAACAAATCCATAAAAGTGTTATTAAAAATTGTAATGAATCGTAAACAAAGAAGAATAATGATAGAAACTAAATTTCATCAAATATCAAGAGCAAATAAGACATTATATAGAATGAGGTTTTTTTCTACCTTACCCACTTAACTTGTAGGTGCCAACTCCTTTGACTTTAATCTTTTGATTGTTTCTTACATAGATATATTTTTCTCATTTCTAGTGCTACATGGTTTGTGGTTCATGAGTCTTCTTCATCTCGTTACATTTACATGCAAAGTGACTCTCTTTACCATAGCTAATGCGCTGATTTTACATTTGTTATTCTTAGACTGAGTTTAGGG